CTAAAAATACAAGAAATTAGCTGGGCATGGTGGCGCATGCCTGTAATCCCAGCTACTCAGGAGGCTGAGGCAGGAGAATTGCCTGAACCCAGGAGGCGGAGGTTGTGGTGAGCTGAGATTGTGCCATTGCACTCCAGCCTGGGTAACAAGAGCAAAACTCTGTCTCAAAAAAAAAAAAAAAAAAAAAAAAAACAAATTAAGGGAAAGAAAAAATTGTGTCCACTTTGAACACTTAATGGACTTGTCATTTTTCCCTTAAAAATACAGTATAACAACTGTTTACATAACACATTTTAGATGTTATAAATAATATAGAGATGATTTAAAGTATACAAGAGGATATCCATAATTTATATGCAAATACTATGCCATTTATATCAAGGACCTGAACATCCTCAGAATTTGATTTCTGTGGGAGATTCTGGAGCCAATCCCCCACAGATAGTGAGAGACAACTATATTATACAGATCTATAATCATTTATATTCTGTTATGGACTGGTGGGAGAGTTTTTTCAGTTAAAGACTAGACGGGAAATACAAGGGAACAAATAAGATTAAAGGAAACCTTATTTTCTTATTGGCTGAACTTTCCAAGAGTATAATTATGCAGCAACAGTTAGGCTCACATGTTAAGAACAGTCAGGAAGGCTGGGCCTGGTGGCTCACACCCGTAATCCCAGTACCTTTGGAGGCTGAGGCAGGCAGCTCACCTGAGATCAGGAGCTCAAGACCAGCCTGACCAACATGGAGAAATCCCATCTCTACTAAAAATACAAAATTAGCTGGGTGTGGTGGCACATGCCTGTAATCCCATCTACTCGAGAGGCTGAGGCAGGAGAATTGCTTGAACCCAGGAGGCAGAGATTGTGATGAGCCAAGATTGCTCATTGCACTCCAGCCTGGGCAACAAGAGTGAAACTCCATCTCAAAAAAAAAAAAAAAAAAAAAAAAAAAAAAAAAATATATATATATATATATATATATATATATATATATATGATATCCTGGCTCCAGATGCCTGAAGATTGCTATCTGTTTGATGACTTACTATAGAAATCTCTAGGCCCCAAGCTGATATTCTTGTCTCCACCAGACACCAGACTGTGTGATTTCTCTATCAGCACTTCCTTCTGCCTCACACCTACTTGCATTTTTATATTTGTAGTCTTCTAGTTCTCTAAATCAACTTTAAATCATTCTGTTCCTTCTGCATGTTCATTGAGGGCTTAGTACGCATAAGTCAGGCAAGTAAAGATTAAATTTATAGTGCTCTATAGCCTACAAAGAATGAAAGCTAGCATATTAGCTAAGAGTTTGGGCTTTTTCAGGTAAATTGTTTAGGTTCAAAGCCCCAATCTGCTCTATCTTTGTGACCCTGGGGAATATACTTCTGTTTTTAAGACTTTATTTCCCTGTCTGTTAAATGGAGGTGATAACTATATCCCTTAGGACCTCTGTAGAGTTAAAGGAGATAATTTATGTTTAGAACATAGTACATGGTAAATACTCATAGGTAACACATGGTAAATGTTAGTTAAATATAACTAATATTATAATAGAAGATAAAAAGAGCTCTTCCTCTACAGTATCCCATTTGAATTTTATAATAATCTTTTAAGCTACTATAGTATTATTAGCCCCATTTTATAGATAGACCCTAAGGCTTTGAGGTGCAACTTGCCCCAAGTCATCCAAGCATTCCTGGCAGGGCTAGTATTAGAATTTGGTTGTGTACATAGTTCCTCTAGGGCTTGTGGTTACACTGGGGAGGGGGAATAGGTTTTATCTCAAGAGCCAGCTCTACACAGTTGAAATGGTTGTTCAGAGTCCTGTTTTGAGAACTGTCAACGCAGATCCAAGCTCATTAAGAAAGGAATGCCTGATTGATGAGCAGTATTTGCCATAAGCTCAGGAACATGCAGTGGGATTATGTCGTTGCTTTCCTTTTTTGTTTGTTTACTCCTAAAGTTTCTCGTTAATCCAGGGTTTTCTTTATAAACAAAAATTGTAATAACTTTTGGTTTTATTAATTTATGGAATCATTTTAGCCTTATAAGTTGTCTAGAGAAGTGTTATTATTCCTAAAATAATTTGTAACTAAGGCAGCTGATAGAGGGGCAGCTCTTACAAGCTATTTCTCTTTAATAACTCCTCACATAATTTCTATTCTCATATGGGCACACAGATTGAGAAATCTGGTAGTCACCATTTATTTCTAATTTTACGTTTAAGTTTTGACATTTGGGTTAAGTACTAATGTTGAGAAGGAATTGAGAAAATCTTATTTTCACATATGAGCCAAATACTAATTTCCTTGAAAGTCAGAGAAGTTTTTTTGGATTTGTCAAATAAGTATCACTGTATTTATTTATCTATGAGACAGAGTCTCATTCTGTCTCCCAGGCTGGAGTGCAGCGGCATGATTTCTGCCCACTGTAGCCTCCACTCCTGGGTTCAAGCAGTTCTCCTGCCTCAGCCTCCCAAGTAGCTGGGATTACAGGTGTCCACCTCCATGCTGGGCTAATTTTATTTTATTTTTTTATTTTTAGTAGAGATGAGGTTTCACCATGTTGGCCAGGCTAGTTTTTAACTCCTTACCTCAAATAATCTGCCCTCCTCAGCCTCCCAAAGTGCTAGGATTACAGGCATGAGCCATCCTGCCTGGCCAGTACCACTTTAAATATACACAAAAGCTAGCTTTCTATGGAGTTGGCATATTTGATCTACCTGACTTGGACTTCTTGGTTTTATTTTAGCCAGTGTTATCCCATCCCTTATTCTTGGTGTTATTATGGGGAAGTAGCAACTTATATTTTAAATATTGACATCACTTAAGTATGGGAAAAGCTAGAGTTAGCTTCTGGGTTCCACCTTCTCCGCAAGAAAATGCCTTAGAAAAAAGCTGGCCACAACTCTAAGTTTACCTGTATACCTAGCTTGGGCTTGTCATTGTAATAAAGGGTAGCCCTGTTTCCTGGTATGAACTACCTTTTGGGAATATGTGCAGACAGAGCTCATGAAGTCTGAGAACTTGGTACTCCATCCCCTACCTGTAAAGAAATACAGGAGAGATGAAAAAAAAAAAGCACAATAGCAGCTTTCCCCATTAGAATTCTATGGATTTCATTGGACTATTGGAGTCATCTCATCTCCAGTTCTTGCTAATATACTTTAGGGATATAGAGAATTTCCCACCTCCTCTGGAAGTCCTGGCCATCTTTGGACAATTCTGACAAATTTTCCCTTTTACTTCTAATTTCCGTATAGGATGGCTAAGCAAGGAAGAAAATCTGCCTCTCAGAAAACACCTATAATTCCACACTGACTACTGTAGAACTGATCTGCTCTGATTTCTTGAGCTTTATTGATTTAAATTGGAGAGTTATTTTATTTTGATTTAATATGTCCAGGCAAATAACCAAAATTAAATAAATATCTGAAAGAGTGTCGTGAGAAGTGCAAAACTACTTGGGGAGAAAATAACTTTCTCCCAAAAAGCTTTCTAGGAATGTAACTTGTAAGAACTCTGAAACGCATACTCTAGAGAAAAAAAGTATTTATGAGATGTCAGGGTCTTTAATCTTTGTAATTAGAGTAGATATTGCTCAGTTTTTTAAAATCATGTACTGATTACATTTCAGTGTAAATGACTTTTTAAACTCCATTATGCAGTCAATCTTTAGGATTATTTACTACAAATGGTTAGAGAAAAAAAGCATATTGTTTCTTTCTTTTTTTTCTTAAAGATGGGGTTTCACCATGTTGGTCAGGATGGTCTCAATCTCTTGACTTTATGATCTGCCCGCCTCAGCCTCCCAAAGTGCTGGGATTAACAGGCGTGAGCCACTGCTCCTGTCTATTGTTTCTTACAAAATTGGTATATAGTGCCTTATGAGATGTAGTTCATTATTTAGTGTTTTAAAAAGAAAAATGTTGGCCAGGCTTGGTGGCTCACACCTGTAATCCCAGCACTTTGGGAGGCCAAGACAGATACATTGCTTGAGGTCAGGAGTTCAAGACCAGCCTGGCCAACATGGTAAAACCCTGTCTCTACTAAAAATACAAAAAATTAGCCAGGCATGGTGGCACGCACTTGTAGTCCCAGCTACTCAGACTCAGAAGGCTGAGGCAGGAGAATTGCTTGAACCTAGGAGGTTGCAATGAGCCGAGATTGCATAACTGCATTCCAGCGTGGGAGACAGAGCAAGACTCCATCTCTAATAAATAAATAAATAATAAACATAAATAATTTTAAAATACAAAAAAAAAAAAAAGTTAGCTGGTCATAGTGGCTCACACCTGTAATCCTAGCACTTTGAAAGGCTGAGCAGGTGGATCACTTGAGGCCAGGAGTTCGAGACCAGCCTGGCCAACATGGTGAAACCCCATCTCTACCAAAAAAACAAAAATTAGCTGGGCGTGGTGGTAAGCACCTGTAATCCCAACTACTCAGAAGGTTGAGGCAGGAGAATTGCTTGAACCTAAGAGGCAGAAGTTGCAGTGAGCCAAGATTGTGTCACCGCACTCCAGCATGGACAACAGAATCGAGACTCTGCCTCAAAAAAAAAAAAAAAAAAAAAGATTCAATTCAAAAGGTAATCTTGTTTAGTATCTTTTTAGGTGATGTAATCCAAACATCTAATATAAGTGTGTTTTTAAAGCAGTTCTCAACTCTAAACTCCTCTCCATAACCTTCCTTTCCCAAATGGAAAGAGTTCGTTTTCTCAGCAGAATTTTAGTTGTTTTTGTTCACATGAAGAAAAACAAACATGTTACAGATTTAGGCTTTTATACTTCTTTCATACTTAATATTTGATCTTTCAGTCTTTTCCCAAGACTTCTCTTCTGCCTTTGTTAGTAAAGCCTTCTCTCTGGGAGTTTTGTTAAATCAGAGGGACCTTATTATCCTCATAAAATCTTCTCTGCCATGTTGAAGATAGGAGTCCCTTTGCCTTTATTATTTCATGGATATGCATTTAGTATTTTTGATTATTTCAGACTGACCCCAATTCTTGGCATTCAGAAACATTCTCAGGAAGGTATAGTGTTTACACGGTTTCTAGACACCCTGCTTGAAGAGTTACAGCTAAAGAATGAAGACCTTGAAAGTTTAACCATCATATTTAGAACCAGCTGTTTACCAAAGTGGTAAGTTGGATTTTGTTTTACTTTGATTTTTAGTCTTCATTTGTTGCCTATGTGGATTTTTCTTTTAATTGGAAATTGTAAAAACCAACTACAGGCCTCAAGATGCCCTCAGTTTGCTAAGGAAACACATGATATTCCTTAGTTTTCAGCTGCCTCAGTCACTTCCTATTCTTATTTTGTGTCCCATATTTGTTGCTATTCGTCTCTTGTAGGCTACTGTTTTTTGCAGTTGAGGAAACACCACATTATCAGTTTCATACTCAAGCATAGGCCATCCCACATGTCCCATCTGATAAGTTTCTTCCCAGGAAGTAGCAGTTTACCTCAACCCAGCTACTGCAGCAATCCATTGTGAACATCCTCATCTTACTGCCCCTTTCAGTGAAATCACCCCCTACCCAGCGAATACCTTGGTCATTTCATGTACAGATAAGCAGGTGAATTTACAAGTCTGACTTTGTTGAATCCTAACCCTGTTCCCAGATACACAGCCCTCTCCGGCTATCCCAAGCCTTTTCCTCTTTCAGAACTGCCCATCAAAATATTCCCTTCCTCATCCTGCCTTAATCACAACTTTCCATCTATTCCTTCCTTCCTTCTCATTTCACACAGTCCCAAAATGCTCAGATAGATACTGATTTAATGTTATAATTGAAGAAATTCATCCTAAACTACAAATGAGATTCTCTCAGGGAGCATTTTTTTAACCTTTTTTAAATGATAAAAAACAATACAAAATGTTGTAAAATAAAAATTAAGCAATACATACTGCATAATTAATATAATGTAAAAGGAAAATTCTCCCTTCACCTCTACCTCTAATCCCATCTCTTTCCTTAGAAGCATACTTGATGTCTGTCATCTAATGTTTATTTTTATTATTTGAATTTTTATAAAACAATCTTTAATCAAATCTCTAAATATACAGGAAGGATATTTGAAAGGGGTGATTTTGGTGATTAAGAAAGAATACAGGGCCGGGCGCACAGTGGCTGACGCCTGTAATCCCAGCACTTTGGGAGGCTGAGGTGGGCGGATCTGTTGAGGTCAGGATTTCAAGACCAGCCTGGCCAACATGGTGAAACTTTGTCTCTACTAAAAATACAAAAATAAGCTGGGCATGGTGGCAGGCGCCTGGAATCCCAGCTACTTGGGAGGCTGAGGCAGGAGAATCACTTGAACTCAGGAGGTAGAGGTTACAGTGATCCAAGATTGTGCCACTGCACTCCAGCCTGGGTGACAGAGCAAAACTCAGTCTCAAAAAAAAAAAAAAAGAAAGAAAGAAATTAGCAGTGTAACTGCCCCCCCAATTTATACCCAATGGTCTTTTCAAATGATCCTGCTACTCTGAGAACACTGTATATCAGAGACTTTTACTGAAAGAGTGAGCTTAGGTTGGTTTGTATATAAGCATAGCATTCAAAGGCCCTTAAAGAATATGGCTTCCACATAAAGAACCAAGTAAAAAAGAAAAAAAATGAAAAAGAATATGACGAGGTTGGAGTGTAAACCAATCATACTCCTCAGTTCATAACATCCTGTGTACATGGGTTGAAAGGTTTCTTGCTTACATAAATTTAATGAAAACAATAAATAAATAAATAAATAAATAAATAAATAAATAAATAAAACGTCTCTTGGCCAGGTACAGTAGCACACATCTGAAATTCCAGCACTTTGGGAGGCCAAGGTAGGAGGATCACTTGAGCCCAAGAGTTCAAGACTAGTCTGGGCAATAAAGTTGCCCTGTTTTGTAGAGAGACCCTGTTTCTACAAAAAATAAAAAAACTAGTCAGATACGGTTGTCTACACAGGTGGTGCCTGCCTGTAGTCCCAGCTACTTGGAAGACTGAGGCAAGAGGATTGCTTTAACCCAGGAGGTCAAGGCTTCAGTGAGCCATGATCACACCACTTCATTCCAACCTGGGCACTGGAGCAAGACCCTGTCTCAAAAAAAAAAAAAAAAAAGAGGTTTGTCTTTCAGATTGAGAGCAAACAGTGTCTAGCCAGAAGTTTTTCTAAACCTGCTGTAATAAATAGATACCAATTAAAAATCATTTTAACTAGCATATTTTAAACTTGTACATAAACAGATGATGTTAAAGTAGTTTTAAGGACTTTCAACAGTAGATGTTTTAAGTGGACTTCACAGTTCCCCTAAGAGCATTATTTATTTACATTGTTCATTTGCTTAAGTAATTAAAGGTAAATCTTGGCCCAGATTACCTAGTATTATAAAGGATTATGAATGAATAGCCTTTATGACATCATTTTTCGTATGAGAAATGAAGATGGTTGTAAGAAGGATAGAGGGTTTTTCTGTTTGCATGATTTTGGTATGCCATGGTAAATTTCTTTGGCTCTAAAGATTTTAATATCTAGTAACCTTTTCAAGATTACTACCTAGTATATTAATATGCTTTCAGTTGTGAATAACAAAAAAATCCATTTCCAACTACCTTTTGTTATTGTGGCATATTAGTTATATTTTGCTACTAGAAAATTTACAAAACAAACAAAAAGATATTTGTGGCTTAAAGACAAACATTTTTTATGTCACAGTTTCTTTGAGTCAGGAATCTAGGTGCAGTTGAACTGGGAGCCTCTGGCTGAAGGTCTCTCCTGATGTTACAGTTAAGCTATCTGCCAGTGCTATGATGTCACCTGAAGGCTAGAATGGAAGATCTCCTTTCAAGCTCACTCATGTGGTTGTTGGCAGGATCGAGCTTCTTATTAACTGTTGAACTCAGGGTCTGTTTCTCACTGTTGTCTAGAGACCTCCCCTAATCCCTTGCCCATAGGCCTCTCTAGAGTGTGTCTCACAACATGGCACGTGGCTTCCCTCAGAGTGAGCCAGCAAGAGAGGATATCCATGATGGAAGCCACAGTCTTTTTGTATTAACAACTAATCTCAGAAGTGACATCCCATCACTTTTGCTATATTCCATTAGTTAGAAACTAGTCACTAGATCCAGCCCATACTCAAGGTGAGAGGATTATACAAGGGCATGAATACAGGAAACAACAGCCATTGGAGGTTATCTTAGAGGCTGTCTACCAGAGGGGCAAAATTGTTCAGTAGGCTCCAGTTTTATATATAGCAGACCATACTGTCTTGGTGAGACTCTTGAAATCCATGTTGATTGAGGACACCCCTGAACCAATTCATGTGGCCATGGGAATGCTGTGAGCTAAGGAAATCATTCTGGTAAAGGATGAGGGAAAGAGAAGAGCTTTTCCAGTTGACCTCGATCAGTCAAAACTTAGCCCTCAAGTTGAATATGAAGCTGGGTCTATTCCACCCAAACTACTTTGGGTAGAATATACATAATGGGGAAGAAACTGAATGAATATTGACAACACACACAGTGTCTCCAATAGCTAGTAAAATACTTTACATGTTTTTTGGTTTTGTTTTTTTGAGACAGAGTCTTGCTCTGTCGCCCAGGCTGGAGTCCAGTGGTACAATTTTGGCTCACTGCAACCTCCACCTCCCAGGTTCAAGCAAGTCTCCTGCCTCAGTCTCCCAAGTAGCTGGGACTACAGGCATGTGCCACCATGCCTGCCTAATTTTGTGTGTATTTTTAGTAGAGACGGGGTTTTACCATGCTGGCCAGGTTGGTCTTCAACTCCTGACCTCTTGAACCACCTGCCTCAGCCTCCCAATACATGTTTTATTAAAAGTATCCTTTTTTGCTTTACAGATACATTTGAAGATGAAATAGAAGATGAACTTCTATTCACCATTTCTGGAATTCTAGCCACCATGATAGTCTGGTGATGACTGATAACTAGCTTTATTCCAAGTCAGACCTTTACGTCTCTAAGTTTCAACCTCCCATCTCCCAGTCCCTCAGTCTCCAACTGCAGAGGATGACCTCCCCAGATAGAGGAGAATCATTACTCCAACAGGGATAACCAAGTCTTTGCATCCCTAGCTGTAAGACATAGTATTTTTATTTGAAAATGAATGTTTAAGTATTAAATTGAAACTTCAATTAATATTCAAGGAAATATAATGATCTCTAATTTTTGTGGATGATTCCTGCCATCATAACAATTTTACCAAAAAAATGAGAAAAATTACCATTTTGGCCTCCCCATCTAAACTCTAAATTCTAAAGATCAGCAAACAGTGAGGTCAATAAATGCAATTTAAGATGAAGCCCTTTGGAAGTCTAGTCTAAAACGGGAGAATCTCAGAACTTTCTGGACTCAGGGAAATGTTTTAAATGGAATCTGTAGTTTGTTTTCAGGAGAGACAATTTCTAGAATTTAGACTGCTTTTCAAAATGTGTATCAAGTAGGCAGTTTCTTTAAAAGAAAGTTAGGCAAGTTAGCAGTTGAGGGGAACCTCAGACAACTTAGGGAACATTACTGAAAGGCCAAGAAAATACTCTTGGACACTGGAAGAAATGACAGCTGCTGATGCCCAATCACAGAAAAGGACTAGAAAGCAGCCTTCTGCAATGGGGAGCTTAGTGGGCAAGGAGATATGGATATGATTTTTCTTGGCTCCACCAATTACTCTGTGGCCCAGTCACCTAAACTTTCTGGACTTCAGTTCAGGTTGTATGGGAGTAGGCCACAGAATTGGCTACTGCCATATAATCTCTATGGGAAAGAACTGCAAAAACTAAACTTTGTCTCTGTATGGACAAAGGCTACTGTCACCCTGTTGTTGGTCTGGGGCCATTTTGACTTTTTTTTTTTTTTTTTAAACCTTGTTTGACTGTAACAGTCTAATCACAACAAAAAATCATAGTGTACCGGAATTAAGTTCAGCAAGGTAAATTGTGTTTTTCAATGCTGAAAACTCCAAAATGAAATTAAGAAAATTTTATCACAGTAGCACCAAAGAGAATTAAATACTTTGGAATAAAATTTAACAAAAGTAGTACAAGACTTATATAATGAAAACTATAAAACATTCGAGAGGACTGGCCATGGTGGCTCTTGCCTGTGGTTCCAGCACTTTGGGAGGCTGAGGCAGGAGGATTGCTTGAGCCCAGGAGTTAAAGACCAGCCTAGGCAACAAAGTAAAACCCTGTCTCCACAAAAAATAAAAATAATTAGCCAGACATGGTGCTATATGCCTATAGTCCCAGCTACTTGAGAGGCTAAGTTGAGAGGACTGCTTGCAGACTGGGCAACAGAGCAAGACCCTGTCTCAAAAAAAAAATAAAAATTCAGAGAGCTTAAAGATGGTATCAAGAAATGTAGACACAATCCATGTTCATGAATTGGAAGATTAAATGTTGTTGAGGTAGCAGTTCTCCCCAAATTAATCTATAATGCAGTCCCTATCAAAATCACAGCAGGCTTTTTTGAAAAACTGACAAGCCAATCCTAAAATCTGTATGAAAACATAAAAGATTCAGAATAGCCAAAGTAATTCTGAAAATGAAATAATTCTGATCCAGAACTTACTACGAAAGCTACATTAATCAAGACAGTGTGGTACTCATATAAAGATAGGCATACAGATCAGTGGAACAGAGTCCAGGAATAAACTTTCGCATTTATGATCAATTGAGTTTGACAAAAATGCCAAAGGAATTCAATGGAGAAAAGATGGTCTTTTCAACAAATGGTACTAAGACATTTGTATATCAAATACAAAAGAGATTAATTTATATTCTTACCTCCTACCATATGCAAAAATAAATTCAAAACTGATTGCAGACCTACATGTGAGCTAAAACTATAAGACATGTAGACAAAAACATGGGAGAAAAGCTAGATGACCTTGATTTAGGAGCAGTTCTTAAGACCCTAACAGCACAATTGATAAAAGAAAACATCAGTAAATTGAACTTCATCAAAATATAAAACTTTTGTTTTAAAAAATGCTATTAAGAAAATTAATTGGCCCGGGGAGTTGGTTCACATCTGTAATCCCCGCACTTTGGGAGGCCAAGGCAGGTGGACCAATTGAGCTCAGGAGTTTGAGACCAGCATGGACATAGCAAAATCCCATCTTCACAAAAAAATACAAAAATTAACCAGGCATGGTGGCATGCTCCTGTAGTCCTGGTTACTCAGAAGGCTGAGGTGGGAGGATCTGGGAGGCAGAGGTTGCAGTGAGCTGAGATCACACCACTACACTCCAGCCTGTGTGACAGAGTGAGACCGTCTCAAAACAAAAAAAGAAAAGAAAAGAAAAAACTGAAAACCACATACTGGGAGAAAATCTTTTCAAATCATATACAGTATCCGATAAAGGACTTGTATCTAGACTATGTAAAGAATTTTTAAAACTCAAATATAAGGCAGACAACTTTAAAATGGACAAAATGAATAGATATTTCAGCAAAGAAGATATACAAATGGCTTAGCATATGAAGAGATGTGTACTATCACTTTAGACCCACTAAAAGGACTGTAATAAAAAAGACAAAGATAAGTGTTGGTGAGGATGTGGAAAAGCTGGAACCCTAATGCATTGCTGGTGGGAATGTAAAATGGTGTTTCCACCTTGAAAAACAGTTTGGCAGTTTCTTTCAAACTCCTGGGCTCAAACAATCCTCCTGCTTCAGCTTCCTCAGTAACTGGGACTGCAGACGGGCACCAACACACTCAGCTTTTTTAATTTTTTTTAATTTCAATATTTTATTTTTTATTAAAAAATAATTTTACATATTCGTGGGGTACATATTTTGATATGTACAAAGTACAGTGATCAGATAAGGGTAGATAGCATGTCCATTATCTCAAACATTTAGTTCATGTCCTTTGCAGGGACATGTATAAAACTGGAAACCATCATTCTCAGCTTTTCTTTTTTTTTAAACTGGTGGATTTCTTTAAATGATATATCTATACAATGGAGTAGTGATATATGCTACAATATGGATGCATCTCAAAAATGTTATGCTTAGTGAAGGAAGTCTGATGCAATACTCCACATATGGTGTGATCCCATTTACAGTCCAGAAGAGGCATATGTCTAAAGCAGATGCTAAATTAACGATTGCATGGGTCTGATGTAAAAACATAGATTGCCTGAAGATGGGCACAAGGGATCTTTTTGGGGTGACAAAAATGTACAAAAATTACAACTTAGTTTTGGAAAAACTTTTTTTTTTTTTTTGACTCAGTTTCGCTCTTTATGCCCAGGCTGGAGTGCAATGGAGTGATCTCGGCTCACCGTAACCTCTGCCTTCTAGGTGGTTCAAGCAATTCTCCTGCCTCAGCCTCCCAAGTTATCTTGCAGGCATGCACCACCATGCCTGGCTAATTTTGTATTTTTAGTAGAGATGGGGTTTCTCCATATTGGTCAGGCTGGGCTTGAACTCCCGACTTCAGATGATCCGCCCGCCTCAGCTTCCCAAAGTGCTGGGATTATAGCTGTGAGCCACTGAGCCCGGCCATTTTTGCACAACTTTATAAACTTTAAAAAAAACTGACTTGTGCACTTAAAACAGGTGAAGTTTGTGTGTATAAACTATACTTAAACTATTAAAAATCATAGATGATGACAGGGCCTCTCTCTCTGACCTAGTGACACCCACCAGGATAAACAGAAAGAGAAGCTGGCCAGGCACAGAGGCTTACACCTGTAATCCCAACACTTTGAGAGGCCAAGATGGGCTGATTGCTTGAGTCCAGGAGTTTGAGACCAACCTGGGCAACATAGCAAAACCCTGTCTCTACCAAAAATTTAAAAATTAGGCAGGTATGGTGGCATTTGCCTGTAGTCCCAGCTACTCAGGTCAGAGGTGGGAAGATCACTTGAGCCCAGGAGGGAGAGCGTGCAGGGAGCCAAGACTGCACCACTATACTCCAGCCTGGGTGAAAGAGCAAGACCCTGTCTCAAAAATTAAAAAATCAGAGAAGCTGCTGTATCTCCACTTTTTCCCTCTCTGTGCCCAGAGATACCTCTTCAGTTATCTCCCATACCCTACAGGTCTAGAGGCCTCAGGTGAGGAGCCAGTAACTCAGTATAAAAAGTAGGGATCCAAGTGGACCACTGCCACCAGGTCACCTCAGGGCCAGCTTCTTTGGGAGGTTACTGCATCTGCCTACCACATATTCCTGCCAAGTTTATGTTTTGGGAGGACTGAAGCAGAATTTAGTTCAAAGTACTTTGTGAGATTTTGGTTTCTAAATATTGTCCAATGAAAAAGAACCCAGGCTCCTTGGGGAAATGGCTAGGTTCTAAGGCTAGAGCCAAGACACTTCAAGATAAGCCTGGACCATCTTTTAGTACCAGAAAGTAAGCAAGTGCTCAAAAACAAGAGGATAGAAGCATGTCAGACACAGGAGCCAATCTGAAAGAGCTCCCTGGCCAGGCACAGTGGCTCACCCTTGTAATCCACAAAATAACATAGTATTGAATTATAATGTTATACGTAAAGTATAAAATATATATGAATCCATACTGATACAACAATTGAATAAATACATGAGAGACAAGAGACATATCTGTACAGAATAATTCCCAATATATGAAGAGCCTTTCTGCACTACCCAGAAAGGTGTCCAAAGTATGGTTCTGGGCTCCTGTCATAACATAAAGGGAAACTTTCACAATGTCTAGAGCCCTTGATGTCCTACAGATAAAGGAGGAGGAGATCCTCAAATTCGTTGTAGCAGAAGCTCAGGTAGCATCAACCTTGACTTCCAAATGGAATAGTACACCTACCAAAAGGCAGAGTGATGTTATCTAAATCATAAATCTGAAAAGGACCTGGGAGAAATTTCTGCTAACAGTTCATACCTTTGTTGTCACTGAAAACCCATCTGATGATGGGTATAAAAAAATAGTAAGAAAAAAGAATAAGACCTAGTACTTGCTAGCACAACTAGCAAGTATAATTGCAGTGACTGCAATTAAAATGATTATAAATTTTAATGCTGGGCATGGTGGCTCACGCCTGTAATCCTACTACTTTGGGAGACTGAAATGGGAGGATCACTTGAATTCAGGAGTTAGAGACCAGCCTGGGCAACACCGACCCCATCTCTACAAAAAAAGTAAACAATTAGTTGGGCATGGTGGCACACATCTATAGTCCAAGC